CTCCCCCCCCCCCCCTCGGTGGCATCTGTAGGACTAACAGAGGACGTACATTTTCCCAGCAGGGACACAGACAAGTCTAAAAGCTGACGGGGATTCTACTCCTTCCACATTTCATCCAAAAATAGCGAAAGTTTGGGTTAAAGGTGCACGTCACAGGTGACCCCAGCAGGAGATATCTCCTCTAAGCCTGTGCTGGTGACACCGGTGGCAATGGTCAACATGAAAAGAACACTGCTGTAAGGGGAATCTCCACAGCAAGGGCAAACTAATAAAAACCCAAAGTTAAAGCGGAAGTTCCAACCCCGCCACAACTAGCAAAACCTTGATGGCTGACGTTCCAATTTATCTCAAGGACGGTGCAGTCAATGCTTATTTCACAATGTCACATTTCCCCAGAAACATGTTATCACAGCTTGACCACTGAGATAATGACACCCATGAGAGCTGCTATACTGCTTGTCAGCTGATAAATAAAGCAACAGTTTAAATGTTAAGAATTGACCTCAAACATATCCGGTTCTCTTCCCTCGAGACTGGAAAATTTCTACCATATCATAACATAGTTGTACCAAACCACATGAGAAAAGTTCTGATGGGCTTCACAAAGGACCAGAGAGTCTAAAGATATTCAACTGAGGTTCTGAGGAGGAGAATTATTACTGTGTTTTCTGGAGGAGTGTCTGACGATACGGCTTCACGGTGTATGGCAGCAGACAGGTCGTAGGGATGTCACCTACTCAGCACTCAGTAATGTCCATCATGATGAAGATCAGTACAGAAAACGAAAGTGTTATCAAAACTGATGAAAACAGCTCCTTCGTACCTAAAATGATAATAAACAAGTTCATTTATCAGAAGTAAGAATGTAGAATCTTTATTTAATGAACAATAGGAAATCACGTTTGAGAAAATGATTGTTCATTAAAGAATAAAAGGATCTGAACCTCCAACGTGACCTCCATAAGTTAGAAGATACTCTGCTCCTGACCTTCTCTCTACCTTTCTGATAGCACCCACCACCAGGATATCACACCTCCAACATGAACCTCCATAATGTAGAAGATACTCTGCTCCTGACCTTCTCTCTACCTTTCTGATTACACCCACCACCGGGATATCACACCTCCAACATGACCCCCCCATAAGGTAGAAGATACTCTGCTGCTGACCTTCTCTCTACCTTTCTGATTACAGCCACCACCAGGATATCACCCCTCCAACATGACCCTCCATAAGGTAGAAGATACTCTGCTCCTGACCTTCTCTCCAATTTTCTGATAGCACTCGCCACCAGGATATCACACCTCCAACATGACCCCCCATAAGGTAGAAGATACTCTGCTCCTGACCTTCTCTCTACCTTTCTGATTACACCCACCAGCAGGATATCACACCTCTAACATGACCCTCCATAAGGTAGAAGATACTCTGCTCCTGACCTTCTCTCCACCTTTCTGATTACACCCAACACCAGGATATCACACCTCCAACATGACCCTTCATAAGGTAGAAGATACTCTGCTCCTGACCTTCTCTCCACCTTTCTGATTACACCCACCACCGGGACCTCACACCTCCAACATGACCTTCCATAAGGAAGAAGATACTCTGCTCCTCATACTCCTGTATCTATCTTTCTAATTACAACCACCCATGGGATATGACACCTCCAACATGTCTCTTCATAAGGTAGAAAATACTCTGCTTCTCTGGACACCTACGCCCAGCCCACCTTAGTCCTCTCCTTCTTCACACCCTACAAATCTGGGACTTGGCTAAATTCTCTAGCTCACTTATATCTCCTTATGCCCCCCCTGGCTATAGATAACACTGGTGTTGCTTTTACATGGTGGACGGCATGTGAACACCTTACGACTTCACACTTTCCGCGTGACTCCAGTGTTGACTTGGGTTACCATAGTCACCAGGTCTCAGCCTCCCTCTAAATAACTTTTTCATTATCTTCAGATCCAGCATTGAATGCAGTCTCTGGTCTCAGGCAGGGAGGCCTCCACACACCTTTTCTCCTAAACTTATCTCCCTGCTCTATTCACAACTTACCTCTCTGTCTTCCCCCGCAATACATAACTATGTCGTACGCATCTAGATCTAAATAGTGCCAAATCCCTAGAGGACTGGACTAGCATTTGAACTACTGTCTCTGGATGCTCTTGAAACATTGTGACCCAAGAATTGTCTCACAAGGTGCTTACAAGGTGGTGTTTGGACCCATCCAGGATTAGGCACCTCGAGCCCACGTATCTAAGTCACTGGTTTGGGAGGTGTAGTATCGAGGGTGATGTCATACATATCTGGTGGTCTTGTCCCGTTGCCATTCGTTTTTGGATGAAAATATACAGAATTATCTGTTCTTTATTTAATGTCCCCATTCGGAGAGATCCCTGGCATGCTCATTATAAGATTGACTGCCTGAAGCATCCTCAGCAGAAGTTAGTGGACTTCATACTCTTAGCGGCTAAGCAAGCGGCTAAGCAAGCGGCTAAGCAAGCTATTACTCACTCCTGGAAAAAAACGAGCTCTACCCTACAAGGAGGTCGGACAGCACATGCAGGGGTACTTTGTGAACAAACAACTTTCGGGTATCCTCACAGACTCCCATGACAAATGTAAAAAGAACAGAGCGCCATGGCTCCCTATAGCTCTCCATGAGTTGGATCACTCGATATTCTCCTTTCTGTGATGGCTTGTCTGTTCATCCTCCTCCCCGAAGCTGCTTCTCTTCCAGGCTTCCACTCTGCTCTCATCTACTCTATTCCTCTATCCTTCTTTTCTTTTTAAATGTTTCTCTTATCCGTGTGCCAGACTTTGCTTTGTCATGTTTGCTTATGTTCTTATCTCGTTTTACTTTTCTATTCCTTCAACACTCATCCAAAGGATTAGGCATTCCATCCAGGATTAGGGAGTCCCCGCCCTATTTTTGTTGTTGTTGTTCTTACATAACTATTTGATTTTCCAGTAGTTCTCTGAGAGCTAGTTTTTCCTTCACCAATGCCCATGACGGAACTTTGTCACGTATCATCTTGCAGTTTGAGCTTTCCACCCTACTCCTGTTCTTGTTTATTACAAAGCCTTGTCATTTGGTTTCTGCTTTTTACTTTGTATCTGAAAACTTTAATAAAAATACTGAAATGAAAAATACTCTGCTCCTGACCTTCTCTCCACCTTTCTGATTATACCCACCAACGGGATATCACACCTCCAACATAACCCTCCATAAGGTAGAAGATACTCTACTCCTGACCTTCTCTCCACCTTTCATATTACACCCCCCACTGGGATATCACACCTCCAACATGACCCTCCATAAGGTAGAAGATACTCTGCTCCTGACCTTCTCTCTACCTTTCTGATTACACCCACAACCGGGATATCACACCTCCAACATGACCCGCCATAATGTAGAAGATACTCTGCTCCTGACCTTCTCTCCATCTTTCTGATTACACACACCACCAGGATATCACACCTCCAACATGACCCTCCGTAAGATAGAAGATACTCTGCTCCTGACCTTCTCTCCATCTTTCTGATGACACCCACCACTGGGATATCGCACCTCCAACATGACCCGCCATAATGTAGAAGATACTCTGCTCCTGACCTTCTCTCCATCTTTCTGATTACACACATCACCAGGATATCACACCTCCAACATGATCTCCATAAGATAGAAGATACTCTGCTCCTGACCTTCTCTCCATCTTTCTGATTACACCCACCACCGGGATATCACACCTCCAACATGACCCCCCATAAGGTAGAAGATACTCTGCTCCTGACCTTCTCTCCACCTTTCTGATTACACCCACCACCGGGATATCACACCTCCAACATGACCCTCCATAAGGTAGAAGATACTCTGCTCCTGACCTTCTCTCCACCTTTCTAATAACAGCCACCACTGGAACATCGCACCCTCTAACTTGACCTTCCGTGAAGTCGAACACACTCTGCTCCTGATCTTCTCTCTATCTGTTTGACTACACCCACCACTGGAATGTCACCCCCACCCAACATGACCCTCTATAAGGTAGAAATAATCTGCTCCTTACTGTTATTCTTCTATTTTTAAGACTTAATGAACTCTTAAGAAAGGTTTTAATAAATGCCAAAGATGTCAGGACGTCCAGGGTTTGTGGGTATTTTCTGCATTGTGGAGTGGTTCATGCTGGGTAGTCTGGCACCTTGTCAAGAGGACACTCACATAAGAGTCTTGAAGAGATTTCCATGAACTCTTTTCTTCTTTGGAGACTATCATGGGCCCATTCTAAATCAGAAAGCTTCAACTTTAGCAGGATGTGGTTATGAGGAGAGGGAGGTTGGGTATGCTGTGGTGAAGCCAGTGTGGGTGTAACTTAACACTTTGGTGCTAAAGTTGTCCCTCTCTTTGCTGCCTCGGAAAATGGATTGGAATGTCCTGAAGGGTGTTTTAGGTTCCCTTGTTGGCACTACAATAATTGTTTTGGTTTACATAATAAACAATGTTATCTGTCATTAGCAGAGAAGAGGGTTTCATACTTACCTCTACTAAACACACATGTCCTGGATTTTCCCCCTAAAAAAACAATGACCAGAAAGATTTAGCAACTTATAAAAGTTTGGATGTCAAAGTACAAGCAGCACAGATGTATAATGGACATTATGTCAGCTTGGAAAGGCTAATTTGCTTTACTATTTAATAATCGGCTAACTAATCGATTTTGAAAATAATCGTTAGCTGCAGCTCTACTATGTGAGTTCCAACATCCTCAGTAAATTTACATGTTATCCCAACATGCAGCTTTACATTTCTATGTTGACTGTCCATGCTAAGACAGACCTTTGCAGGAAATAGTTCCTCAGGTTAACTACCCACTTCAGGTTGACTTGTTAGAACATAGAAAATTGCCTGCATTTGACTGTAAGTAATTAATGGCTTCCCCCCTTCCACCCATCTCAGACTGCAAAACCTACACTATATTGCCAAATGTATGTTGCCCAAAGTATTGGGACGCCGGCCTTTACACACACTTGATCTGTAATGGCATCCCAGTCTTAGTCCGTAGGGTTCAATGTTGAGTTGGCCCACCCATTGCAGCTATAACAGCTTCAACTCTTCTGGAAAGGCGTCCACAAGGTTTAGGAGTGTGTCTATGGGAATGTTGGACCATTTGTGAGGTCAGGTACTGATGTTGGGGGAGGGGCTCGCAGTCTCCGCTCTAATTCATCCCAAAGGTGTTCTATCGGGCTGAGGTCAGGACTCTGTGCAGGCCATTCACGTTCCTCCACCCCAAACTCCCCCATCCATGTCTTTATGGACCTTGCTTTGTGCACTGGTGCGCAGTCATGTTGGAACAGGAAGGGGCCATCCCCAAACTTTTCCAACAAAGCTGGGAGCATGAAAATGTCCAAAATGTCTTGGTGTGCTGATGCCTTAAGAGTTCCCTTCACTGGAACTAAGGGGCCAAGCCCAACCCCTGAAAAACAACCACCTCCCCCATAATCCTCCTCAACCAAACTTTACACTGGGCACAATGCAGTCAGTCAAGTATCGTTCTCCCAGCAACCGCCCAACCCAGACACGTCCATCGGATTGCCAGACAGAGAAGCGTGATTGGTCACTCCAGAGAACACGTCTCCACTTCTCTAGAGTCCAGTGGCGGCGTGCTTTACACCACGGCATCCCACGCTTTGCATTGCACTTGGTGATGTAAGGCTCGGATGCAGCTGCTCGATCCCCACACTAACCTATATTTGCCACAAGATGTCCTCGGTCTTCTGGGTTGAATGACATCTAGTGTCCCTCAACTTGAAAGAATGAGGACATACTGTGAATGCAGGGCATCATGTGTCCACCCCTGAGAGGACATCACCATGGCGCCCTGCATTGACTGTGTAATGGCGGAGAAAGCAGCACTAACGTCATCATGTCAGCTACGTTCGCTGCATCATTGAGGACCAAACATCTTGGAGAGCCAAAACTGAAGAGCGCCCTGTGGCATCACGTGACCAGACTTAAGATATTAAAATAGATAAGTAAAAAAAAAAAGCTTGGGAGACCTTATAGGGAGAAGTGGGAGAGGGCACTGGGGGCAAAGTGGCCTTTAACATTTCCCCAACCTAAAGCCTAATGCCCAAAGTTACAGGGGTTCGTTAAGTATATTGTGCACTACATAATCATTGGTAAATCTATAGGAGATTTTAAAGAGATTGCAGACTGGGAGAGGGAGGGGAAGCACTAGGATCCAATCAAGGTACTTTGCATACAAATGTGCTAATAGAAGTTGAGAGCAGAGCTGATGACTTATCAGCTTCATTGTCCAATCAGAGAGCTGTGGGTGGGAAGGTGACACCATTGCATTCCATAACTCTAACAGATAAAGTGCTGTCACCCTTTACTCGATTCAGCACAGTTCGCTCATGTGTTCCCCCCATGTGACTGCACTAGATGCCTGAGCAACCAGTCGCCTAGCACCAACGCTGTCATCTGGAAGAAAGATGAGTGAGTCACGGCCTTCTGCATGCCCAGAACAATGGACACTTGTTTTTGCTTGTGAGCATGTCTTGTGCAAAGGCTGGCATGAGGTGAAGCATGAGCTTGAAAAATAAACTTAAACCAGAAAATAAAATTGAGCCAAAACCATTAAAGTTTCCCTTTAATGATACGGAACTTCTTCTTTAAGCTGATGGAGCCCAGGCCAAGACCTAAGTTGATAAAAGCCCTTGTAGCACCCAACGCCTTCTGTGATGTGGCTACTAGACATTTAGTGATAGCCGGGGCTGTAGTCGGCCTGGCTGGATTTATAGTGGCAGTTGTCTGGTTAATTCCAGGTGTCTGGCCTTGCCTGTACCCCGCTGGGCGGAGTGTGACTCTGTCATATTGTGGGACAGCCAATGGGAGGCACTGTAATGTGTGTACAGTACAGCAGCTAATCACTGGGCTTCTCTTAGCCAGTGGTGCATGCTGGGATAGGGTACATATATTGCACTTGCCGGGACCAGCCATGGAATAGGGCTGGGTCCTGTTAAGCCTGCCCCCCAGGCTAGGCCGAGGCCTAGGGGGGGGGCATGGGCTGGTGTGAGGGAAAAGGTTTCCCTGAGGCCTCCAACATGGAGGAGGCCTGGGATGCTGAAAGAGGAAGAGAACCAGGGCCAGTGCAGGCTCTTGAAGTACCCTGGAACTAAGTGGACTTCCGGAGCATGGTCGCTGTCTTTCCTGATTGAGGATCTGCATCCATCCTGTCTGTCTGTTACATCAGTGGCTATCTGCAATCTCCCAGGTGGATCTGCACTGATATATCTACAAAGTCTGGCGAGTCTGGAGCTCCTGTTGGTTAGCCCTGGACACCTAGAACCCCTATATCCTCTCTCCCCAGTGAAGATGTTCAATAAATCGTTTACTTAGCATTTTACTACTGGAGTGGACACCAGTTTATGGGCACCAGAAAAAGGGCAGTTATTGCTAATGGGCGGACAGCGGAAGATCATACCCCTAGACAAACTACAAATGAACCGGGCAACCAAAGGCTCCTACGGGGGTAGCGCTACACCCTCATTTACTAACCTTTTCCTAAGTAGTCACAGTTGTAGTAATGACATCTGGATTTTGTGGTTGTAAGGACAAATCTGCTTTCGCCTTCATCCCTGGTAAAGTCCGTCACTTCGAAGACCTCGTCCACCGGTATGAGGACCTCCTCTTCTCCTGGATAAGCGGATAAAATGTGTATGTCTGCCCCAAAGCAGGTGCTTATGTTGAAGAAAGTCCCCGTCCCAAAGTTCTCTGCCACCGTTTGATTCCTGGAGGAAGAGGTGAACTGCCCGAATCGAATTTCCCCCCCGACATCCTCGGGTAACAGACGTACCCTGTTGACCCCTCTGTACACGGGCGCCGGGCAGTCCGTCCTCAGGTGGTTCATGGCTTGGGTCATGAAGAAATGCAGGGAATGGTAGTTGAAATTTTCCCGGTCGTAATTTCTCACCGCTTCGTTGAAACCGGAATAAACGGTGTCGTTGGAATAAACGATAATGGCGGCTCCAAACTCGTCCAGGAAGCCCTCAGAAATATCTCCGCTTACGTAGTCTTTGGTTTCAGCCCATGCCTCCATTGCGAGATCCCATGCATGGGCAAAATCTGGGTCAATGTCTTTTTCTTGCTCAAGTAGGTGTTCTCTGATTACATATTCCATTTCCAGTTCACAACCTTCATACTGGTCGTCAAAGGCGTTGGTGTTCATAGTTATAGGACAGCTGGGGGCCTAGAATAGATGATATGCTTACTATTCCGGGAGGAACATACACACAACGCCAAGCAGAGCCCTAGTGGAAGCTAAACTAAGGATCAATGGAGTACGAGGGAATAATGGAAAATTGTATACTTACCTTCCGTAATTTTCCTTTCCTGGTGCATCAATTGGCAGCGCACCAACCTATGGTGTGCTGCCAAGATGCCCCAGGAAAGTAAATGACATTGCAGCCTTTAGAAAACCGGGTTCATTGCCCTACATAGGACTTGCATGGAGTTTATATGCTCTCCCCATGTTTGTGTAGGCTTCTTCCATGGGCTCTGGGTTCCACCAACACTCCAAAACTATTCCACCATCCTAAAGATAATTTTGATGAAACATATACATTTTACACGCTTTATGTTCTGTAATATCTCACAAAATGTCATATTCAGCTTTCCTGAGAGGCTCCTCCTTCTTAAAATGCCAAACGGCTAGTCATTGTTCCGGCCCCTTGGCTTCAATTGTTTCTGTCCCCTGATACGAATAAGTATACAGATCAGGAAAATCTAAGCCAAGACAGACGCGCTTATTTGCATACTTGGTCTGCGTCAATGACTCTACCTATCAAAGGCAGAGGGTCAGCATACCAGCCAGGCAACTAGCTTATGCAGGAGAAGGTCAGCAATGCCATGTGTCTCTCAGACAAGATTTGTTTAGTCATCACCCAGACCTGGCAGCCGGATATACTGTAATTATATAAGTACAAACTATACACAAGAAGGAGATGTATAGATCGTTTTACATGTCTTTCCTCACATCATGTCTCTAAGTCCTGATACTTTTACTTGAACACCTTAGACATATTCCCCTTCCTAGTCGAAGTGTCCACTAGAGCCTTAGTACAAAGCTATATCTCGCCTTGACTACTGCAGTATAGTGGTCTCTGGTATTCCACTATTATGCTGTAAGACTTATCTTTTCTCACCAACTCCCTTTCCTACTGTATCTAGTGTGCCCAACTACCATCACCTCCATCCACTGCCATCCCCCTTTCCTACTGTATCTAGTGTACCCAACTACCATCACCTCCATCTTCTGTCATCTCCCTTTCCTACTGTATCTAGTGTACCCAACTACCATCACCTCCATCCACTGCCATCCCCCTTTCCTACTGTATCTAGTGTACCCAACTACCATCACCTCCATCTTCTGTCATCTCCCTTTCCTACTGTATCTAGTGTACCCAACTACCATCACCTCCATCCACTGCCATCCCCCTTTCCTACTGTATCTAGTGTACCCAACTACCATCACCTCCATCTTCTGTCATCTCCCTTTCCTTCAGTATCTAGTGTACCCAACTACCATCACCTCCATCTTCTGCCATCTCCCATCTGTATTGTATCTAGTGTACCCAACTACCATCACCTCCATCTACTGCCATCCCCCTTTCCTACTGTATCTAGTGTACCCAACTACCATCACCTCCATCCACTGCCATCCCCCTTTCCTACTGTATCTAGTGTACCCAACTACCATCACCTCCATCCACTGCCATCTCCCTTTCCTACTGTATCTAGTGTACCCAACTACCATCACCTCCATCCACTGCCATCTCCCTTTCCTACTGTATCTAGTGTACCCAACTACCATCACCTCCATCCACTGCCATCCCCCTTTCCTACTGTATCTAGTGTACCCAACTACCATCACCTCCATCTTCTGTCATCTCCCTTTCCTACTGTATCTAGTGTACCCAACTACCATCACCTCCATCCACTGCCATCCCCCTTTCCTACTGTATCTAGTGTACTCAACTACCATCACCTCCATCTTCTGTCATCTCCCTTTCCTACTGTATCTAGTGTACCCAACTACCATGACCTCCATCCACTGCCTTTCCTATTGTATCTAGTCTACCCTACTAACATCACCTCCATCCACTGCCATATCCATTCCCTATTGCATCTAGTGTACCCAACTACAATCACCTACATCCACTGCCATCTCCCTTCCCTATTGTATCTACTAGGGTACCAAACTGCCAACACCTACACCCACTGACATTTCCCTTTCCTAGTGCATATAGTGTACCCAACTACCATCACCTCCATCTTCTGCCATCTCCCGTCTGTATTGTATCTAGTGTACCCAACTACCTTCACCTACATCTACTGCCATCCCCCTTTCCTACTGTATCTAGTGTACCCAACTACCATCACCTCCATCCACTGCCATCCCCTTTTCCTACTGTATCTAGTGTACCCAACTACCATCACCTCCATCCACTGCCATCTCCCTTTCCTACTGTATCTAGTGTACCCAACTACCATCACCTCCATCCACTGCCATCCCCCTTTCCTACTGTATCTAGTGTACCCAACTACCATCACCTCCATCTTCTGTCATCTCCCTTTCCTACTGTATCTAGTGTACCCAACTACCATGACCTCCATCCACTGCCTTTCCTATTGTATCTAGTCTACCCTACTAACATCACCTCCATCCACTGCCATATCCATTCCCTATTGCATCTAGTGTACCCAACTACAATCACCTACATCCACTGCCATCTCCCTTCCCTATTGTATCTACTAGGGTACCAAACTGCCAACACCTACACCCACTGACATTTCCCTTTCCTAGTGTATCTAGTGTACCCAACTACCATCACCTCCATCTTCTGCCATCTCCCGTCTGTATTGTATCTAGTGTACCCAACTACCTTCACCTACATCTACTGCCATCCCCCTTTCCTACTGTATCTAGTGTACCCAACTACCATCACCTCCATCCACTGCCATCCCCCTTTCCTACTGTATCTAGTGTACCCAACTACCATCACCTCCATCTTCTGTCATCTCCCTTTCCTTCAGTATCTAGTGTACCCAACTACCATCACCTCCATCTTCTGCCATCTCCCATCTGTATTGTATCTAGTGTACCCAACTACCATCACCTCCATCTTCTGCCATCTCCCATCTGTATTGTATCTAGTGTACCCACCTACCATCACCTCCATCTACTGCCATCCCCCTTTCCTACTGTATCTAGTGTACCGAACTACCATCACCTCCATCTTCTGCCATCTCCCATCTGTATTGTATCTAGTGTACCAAACTGCCACCACTTTCATCCACTATCGACTTTTTTTCGCTTTTGTAGCAAGTGTACCTAGCTGCCATGAACCCCAACCACTGCCGTCTCCTTTCCATATTCCGTCTAGTGTACCCAGCTACCATCACCTTCAGCCACTGCCATCTCTTTTCCCTACTTTATCTAGTGTACCCAACTGCAACCTCATCCAACCACTGCAATCTCCCTTCACTAGTGTATCTAGTGTACCAAACTACCATCACCTCCATCTTCTGCCATCACCTCCACCCACTGCCATCACCTCCACCCACTGCCATCACCTCCACCCACTGCCATCACCTCCATCCACTGCCATCTTTTTCTCCCATGTATTTAACATAACCAACTCCCATCACCTGCAGCCATTACCTATTGTACTTTTTCCCCCTGCAGACTTGCCAGGGCGGTGTTGCGTAATATCTCGGCACTTCATTATTAAGTGTTGAAATGTAAATATAACAGACATCCGCCGACCTGTTTACATGAGATTGGTCACATTCACGTCCTAGAAAAGTTATCTATTGAAATCTTACTGCCCTGGTCTATTTCTTTCAGAGAAAGGTCTGAGATGCACCGTCCTCGTGATGTGATGGTGAATATATAAGAGAACTTTATGTTTTAGTGTTTGATGAGTATTGTACATACTGCGTGTGTCTTCAGAATCCCGAATACCAGATAGAGGGAGAAGCTCGTCCATAGGGGGAACCTCATTCTTCTACAATGTCCTGTGGAAACAATGGGAATAATCAGTTTTCTCTATGGCAGAGGAAGTATGTCCTGACCTATGAACCCTGCATTCAGAAGAGGTGCTGCTCCCTACATCTACTGATGGCAGAAGAAGTATGTTCTGACCTATGAACCCTGCATTCAGAAGGGGTGCTGCTCCCTACATCTACTGATGGCAGAAGAAGTATGTTCTGACCTATGAACCCTGCATTCAGAAGGGGAGCTGCTCCATACATCTACTGATTCTATTGATGGCAGAAGAAGTACGTCCTGACCTATGAGCCCTGCATTCAGAAGAGGTGCTGCTCCCTACATCTACTGATTCTACTGATGGCAGAAGAAGTACATCCTGACCTATGAACCCTGCATTCAGAAGAGGTGCTGCTCTTTGGAGCGAGGTTTGATGATGTCAGTGGTGTGCTACTCACTTGTCTTCATGCTGGAGGCTCAGACGTGAGGAAGGAAAGCCCTCGCTTCTACCAAGGCGGCCTCCTCCACACAGAGACCCGATGAAGAACAAAGCATGCTAAGTCATTAATGGGGGAAAGATCAGCAGCTGGGAGACCACAGGCAATGCCGGTGACCCGTCCTTTGTTTTTTGCCGGCCTCTTTGTGGCCACAGCTCTTACAGTTCATTCCATCTTTAATATTTCTCCCAATAAGGAGCTTTTGGATAAGGTCACCATGGGTGATGGAGCAGATGATGGGTGGAGTTGTCACAAACCGCTATATATTTTGTGATGGGAGTGTGTTGAACCTTTGCAGAGAGACCACTGCTTCCACACAGATAGCCCTAGTCCTTCTCTGCAGCATGCTGGCAGGGGACAGGCTTCTCCACTCAGGCTGCGGCTGCTTTCCAAAGACAACCAACTTGAAGGCTTTGCACACCTTTTGTTTTACCACAAATGTATGCAGATGATTTAAAGCACATGTGTCAAAGACAAGGCCCGCGGGCCAAATGCGGCCCACCAAGCCACTTCATGTGGCCCTCGCACCTCTCCTGCAGCTGCGGCCCCCCCTCGCCCCCACCACCACCTTGTCTCAGCAGTCGGCAGCAGAGCGGTGGACAGAGCACTTTGAATATACTGACTAGGGATGCACCAATATGAACCGCGGTGCCCGTTTACAGCGCTGGCAGAAAATCTCCT